TTATAATTACATTTTTATCCTCAGCCTATTTTAGTCATAAAGATTTTAATAAATTTTAAAAAAATCAGAGCAAGTTGATTGATTTTAGTGAGCTGAAGTTTATGTGTTTGTAGTGAGTCAGGGAAAGCATCTTTAGTTTCCAAGCTTAGTTCAGACTTTGCAGATACCATTGCAGTGTTCTGCGCCAAGTGTCTCTACAGGGGAGCGAGCTCTGCTGTTTAGGTGTTTTCCAGGTGTCAGCTCTTTTTTCTTTATTAACTGAAAGTCTGATCATTTTGGCTTCAGTATCAGCTAGCTCATGCAAGTGACCTGTAACTCTTTCTTTCTCCAGTAGTGCTTTCAAAATGGAGAAGCTGGCTGGGAAATGAAAAAAAAAAAAAAACCACCCTTCGTTTATAAAGATATTGACTTATTTAAAAAGATATTGACTAAGTCTAAAAAGGTTTTAAGTGCTGAAGGACTTACAGCCAGTCTTTCACAGATACTTAGAAATTTTCCCATCCAGGTGAGTGGGATTTCTATCCTAAGTGCCTAGGCAGGTTAGGCCTCAAATTTTTCCCACTGAATGTTTACCTGCATATTTAGGCATTGAAGAGCCTTCTAAAATTAGCTCTTTGGTTCCTAGAAGTAGTCTGTTCACATAATGAGTAAATTTGTTGCCTCTTTTGTTAAACCGATTAAATGCTTTGATAACTGTACGCACTTTGATGAATACACAAAAGAAAGTAAGCAACACCCTTAAGGTTGCAGTTCTTACAAAACTATAAAAGTGCTGTTTTATGCATTTCCGTGAATTCAGATTGTCTAGCAAATAGATGAATTTCTTACCATCTTCTAATATAGTTACTCAAACAAAAATGAGCATTTGATTTGTATAGTCAGCAACACGATGTAGTGAATCGTTGTGGTTGGCAGAGAACAGTAGCAAATACAGAGCAATCAGCATGTTTTAATCTTTACACCAGTAAGTAGGGAGTGGACCCTGCCTTAGGAAAATAACTGAAAATTACAAATGCAGAGCAGGGTTTAAACTGGTATATTTAAATTAAGTTCTACTGGCTGATAATGCCAACCATTGCTTAAGTCAAGCCGCCTGCTTTGCAGATTTTAAATACTAGGCTGGCCTCTGCGGGTAGGATTTTCAGAAAGTGGTGATTTTGGAGCACAAATGCTACTCAAGCCAACAGTATGCATACAGACCAGTGATGAGACTGTCCTTCTTTGCAGATAGGAATACCTTCAATCCCTGCCCACCCACCAGCTATTATTGAAATAGTTAATGGATTTATGTCCTGTTTAATCATCAAGTCAGATCTTTGTTCATGCTGTAGTTTGTGAAATTGTGTTCTTTAGTCTGCCTTGGTTGCTGAGTACTTTGCATTTGTTTTTGATCTAATGCTGATCTCATATTTATTATAAAAAGTTGCAGTACCAGTAGAGCTGTTCCTATACAGTTGAAACAGAATAAATTGTCCTGGGTTATCTCCTGAGCATCTCTGCTTGCAAAAGTATTTGCTATTGTCTTGAATTTCCAGTTTAAAGATCTACATAGTTCATGTATCTGCTTTCTAGTAGTTGTATGGAGATTCTCACCCCGCATTGTTGCTTATCACGGTATGGTGTCCATCAAGATAAAGTGAGCTCCTGGTACGAGGACCCATGTCTTCATTGCTTGGTAGGTTTGGAATTTGTCCTGTAGGTGATTTTTGCTCTATGTACGCGCACATGGTAGAGATGTTTACTGAGGTGTATACTCTGTTAACTCAATAGGAGGTTGTAAGGAGCAGTGAGGACAGCTCAGTGGTGGGTCAGGCCATGTACTTGTTAGAATATCTCCTCTGTGCACATTTGGGAGGGTGTTCATTTTTGTGTAAGTAGGACAGAGAACCCAGGGGATGAAATGGCTTTTGCTTCTCTAACGTCATCATTCTGTGAAGGGGGAAGGAGGATAAGAAGATGTGAATGTTCAGTAGGAAAGAGCTGAAATGAGGTTCACGCCATAGATTAATCTGGGGACCCTCTCTGGTTGTTTACATTAATAGGAGTTGTGTGCGATGTTATGCTTTTTTTGGTTTAATTTGTTCTATGTCATTTTTCTTCTTAAAAAGTAATAAACTAGTTCTGAGAGGAATGTACTTTCTAGTAAAACCCGTTGGTTGTAGGCTCGAAGATGAGATACAAACACAGGACGTTATAGTTCTCTTTGGACAGGTAGAGCAGGATCATTGGTTGCTTTGCTGCCCAGTCCCTGGGGTGAAAGAGAGAGCATCACCTAATTTAGTCAGAAGTACAGTCTAACATCTGAGATGAGTATTTGTGGAGACTACAGAGAGAAGAGGAACGCAGTTGCTCAATTGCAGTACAGCAAAAAGGGAAGATCTGTTGTACAACAAAGCTTGATTTCTCAGTGACTTAATTTTCCAAAACTCATGGTATTTTTTTTTTTGTTCTCGAAGTGCTGAATGTTCTCAATGCCACATGAAGTCAGTAGGGGCTGTGGAGGCTCGGCAACTGTGAAAGCCAGGCCTCATTTCATGGATGTCGTTGACATTTGTATCCCTCCACTAGTGCAAATCCAGTATTTTACATTCCCGGTGTTTCTTAATGTCTGGGTGAATTCCGTAGAGAGTAATTTCGTTGCTAGCATCAAATTGCACATTTGTTTACTGGGCAGTTACACAGTCAAAGTTTATAAATATTTTTGTCTGTCTTCTGGTTCTGCCTCTGACACATAAAACTTAGAGGTCCTTTTAATCTGGAGTAGGATTATTAATCCTTTGTCGCTCACTGGCATTTTTAAATACGGTTATTTTCTTATTCTGTCTGCCCAGTGGTTCTGATCATTAGGTTGATGTGAACTGCAACTTTGTGCTCTGCATTCTTGCAGTTGGTTTCCTGCAGAGGTTAACCAGTCTGTGAGGTGTTAGAGGTTTGCAGCTGCAGAGCTATATAAGCCTTTGGTTTGATTTCCTCAGCCTAAAGCTAAATGTCTGTCTGTTGACTTTTTTGGAGGGGCAAGGTGTTTTGTTTTTTGAGGGTTTTTTTGTGGCTGCTTATCCTAGTAGCACGTTAAACTTTCTAGAGTCTCTATGATGCAGCTTGCTAATGTACTTTTAAAATATCCTGCTTTCATGGCCTGTAGTGTGTGGTTAAAAAAAAAAGTGCTTACTGAGTATTGTCTGATTGAGCACCTTGATTCTTCATCAGAACTTGAAACTGTCAAAGGAATTCATAATGGTGTGACTTTGTAAAAGATCTCTGGAATGTTGGTCTGCTCATCCATGCTTTTGCACTGAATGTACTTTATGCATATGTGTTGTAATATGTGGTTTACATTTTAATGGCACCCACTAGTGCTCTGCATGTAGACTTTAAATAAAAAAATTGCATGTGCTGTGACTCAGCTGCTATATTCAGCAACAGTCATTACAAGACTTAAAATCGAGTGAATGTGCTAAGAGATCATAGAAATACCTGTAAGAGTTGAGAGAAAATGAGTGCTCCTTGTGAGGTCTGAGAATTTTGAGTGTGAAACTTGCATCTGGAATTAAGCAGCAACGGCTCTGCTGTGCCAAGGACCTTTTTCAATCAAGCCCCAAGTCAGCAAATTCATTTCAGTGCTCGGGCGGTTGGGTTAGTCCAAGGTTGTGCTGAGGAGGTGCAGGACAAGCACAAATCGGTTCCTGTCTCACTGAGGGGAGGAACTGAATCCTGCAGCACTTGAGGCTTCTGGGTGCTGGTGTGAATGTTACTCTGAGTGGCAATCTGCTCACCTTTTGTTCAGAAGGTAAAACAAGCTTGGCAGTGTGACCTGTACCAGATGTGTGGTTTGGTTTGGTTTGGTTTGGTTTGGTTTGGTTTCCTCCTGCTCTAGGAGGGACAGAGCAGTCACTTGTTGATTACTTTGAGCTTGAACCATATTGAATGGATGATCTATAACTCTGGAAGCAGTGTGTCACTCTGCTGTCACTAACCAGCACGTGCTGCCATTCTGATACACCGTTGTGTCATACACCTGCCAAAAACCCAAAAGCAACAATGGCAAAGTGAAGAACTTCTCCGTTTTCCTTAGGCTGGCATGGAGGTGAATGAAGTAATGAGAGAAATGTAACTCTGATGAATTTCCTGCTGTGCCACAAAAATACGAACAAGAAAACCCTAGCGCAACACAAATCAGCAGTCCTGTGCCCAGATTTATCTAAGTTATAAATTAAAACCGAAGCTTTTACTGGATTAAATGCAAAAATGTGTCCCTTTTTAATACAGGGATGATGTATTACTTATTTAGTGTATATTCCAGCCTAGTGAATCACACTGGATAGGGTCACACTTGAGAATATATGCACAGATTTTCTTGACCAGTTGGTATATGGTACACATGTAATTTTAATTTCTTTTCATTCCTACATATTATAGTGCAAGCAATTACGAAGTTATTCACCAAACACTCATCTGTACAATAGCACTAAGGTTACATGTACAATAGTAAATCTATACCTTCTGTATATATGTGATTCTGTTTTTAATCATGTTGATTGCTCCTTTTTTTTTCCCCCCCTGGAAGTCCTTTCCTCAGTTGGTGTGCAGAATGGAAGGTATACTGCTTTTTCTAACTGTTCGGTGCTAAGTCTTTGGGCCTTGTTTTCTGAACACTCCCCCAAATCTGCTCTGGGGATGGAGTTTCTCAGTTTTACTTTATAGTTTTTCGTCTCATCTCATTGATCTGAATCAATGTCTGTCATTATTTTTCTGATGTCCTCTGTGGTTTCATTTGCAATTTCAGTAAATTTTAGCTGTTTTGAAATGGGTTGGATTTTCCCAGAAATGACAGAGAAAGCGAAAGCAATTTTTTTTTCCTATATTGACAATCTCTCTGTCCCTTTAGTCTCAGAGACCCCTGAACTCTTTTCCTAGAAGTCATTTAGCAGCAAGATTTAGTCCCTGTTGCAGTGATCAAAAGATAACTCTAAACTTTTTTTCCAGGATCTTAGCTTGCCAGGATGCCCATCAATGTTGATGATGTGATGCAACTGTTCTACCATCTATCTCAGGAGAAGGGGATGAAAGCTGCTGTCAAACACTCTGGTCGAGGAGCCCTGCTGGCAGGTGCAACGGCGTTTCTTGGTGGTCTGGTGGGAGGTCCACCTGGAATCGCTGTAGGTAAGTTCTTAAGTGCTTAAGGAACAGTAAGTGTGATTACCTCCTTGAGCGAAAAGCTAGTAAGCCTGTGTAGTAGGTATGGGTTGAAGGAAAAGGGTGTGCAGCACCGAGATTTCATGTAACGGGGCTTTAACAAGATGCTATTTTATATGTTGGCATTTTAGAAAAGAGGTGTGCATCAGGAAGGCATGTGTCAGTGTTTCCTTCACACTGAAGTTATTCTTGGATGTGTTTTCTCATTTTGTTTAAGTGTTTGCTTAAGCTTTTGTAATGTCTCCCAGCCAAGCTCGGTGTTCTTCAGCCACTGATGAAGGCACTGGAACAAGTAAAGCTGTTACTGTATACCAAAAGCGTGCTGTAGAAAGTCTATATAATAAGAATAAAAAGTTCCAAGTATACCAAAAGCCGTGTCCCAGTTACAGTGCAACTAAGTCAGAAGACCCTTGTTTCACTTTACAAATTGCAAAGGTGAATGTCCCTGGGTCTGTAGTGGGGTTGAGGAGATTTGCAGGGAGATCTGCCATTGAGTGCACTTTCACTTACCCCAACAGCCCGGATAGGTGTGGGACTGGAGGGTGGGATCGTCCTTATGGCTGCCTTGCACCAAGAAGGAGAGGGTGAATTACCTGCCATCTGCGGTCCTTGCTGGAGAGATTTCCAGTGTCTGGTGCTTCCTGAGGACTGCTGCTCTTAGAAGAATGGATTGTGGATGTGTTGCCTGGGGGGAAAAGTGTGATCCTGTAACAAACCTTCTCTCAATACATGAGGAGCTTGGACATTGATACTTGTTGTGGCTTTTGCATTAAGTGCCCCTCAATCAGATATTGATGTTCTTACAAAAGTTCCTTCAAGATGAATTCAGCTGTCAGGGTTTCTCAAGTATTTCTATGGTAACATGGGAGAAATTGCCACCTGAGTAAAATGTGCAAATTAAGGAATTTGTGTCTAATGTAAAACTGCATCCCTGCGAGTACACAAATGATTTTTTAGGAGCAGTGATTGGGGTGGGAATTTTGGAGGCAGAGTCAGCTCTGACGCCCCTCTGTTGTAAGGGTCCTCCCTTCTTCCTTCCCTCACTCCATCTCTCCCTTCTTTCCATCTAGTGCCCTAAGGAGTGAGGAGACCAGGGCCCTAAGGAGCGTTCTTTTGTTCCTGGTTTCTAGCTTGAAGCTCGTAGCTTTGACTGTGTACAGAGGTCCTTTGTGAGTGCTGGGGATGTAAAAAGCTTTAAAAATCCCTCTTGGTGCTCTGAACGTTGTGTATAAACCTAGTTAAAGTAGACACAGATGAACTCTGCATTGGTTTCTAATGAAGGTGGGAACATGGTTGATGAGGCTGGGGTTAGAATGTCAGGTTTTACCATGAACTGGTGAAGAGCAACATCTCTCTCTCTTTTCTAGGAGGAGCGTTTGGTGGATTGCTTGGTGCCTGGATGACTAGTGGACAGTTCAGGCCAGTCCCCCAGATTTTAATGGAATTGCCTCCTGCTGAGCAGCAGAAGCTCTATGATGAAGCCGTTGTTATTCTCAGGCACTTAGACTGGACTGATATTGCTCAGCTGACTGCTCTTGTAATGGGAAGTGCTAGTCTCCAGCAGAAGTTGACAGCAGTGCTGATAAATTACCTCTCCAAAGAGCTAAGAGCAGAGATACAGTATGGAGAATAAACCTTTCCAGAGCAGCCTTTTTACAGTGTCATGAATTTTACTCTGACAATTGTGGTTCTTCAACATAGGAATTATTAGTTAACGGTACTAATTATTAACATAGTCAGATCTCAGTATTATTTTGGGGTTTGCGGCTGGGTGTTTTGTTTGTTTTGTTTTGTATGCTAAGGGTAGTATTAAAGTACTGCATTATCCTGACACTAACTTGCTATGTAATTTGGAATTGCTCTGCACTAGGAGTGAATCCAAAATCACTGAAGGGAATTTTGCTTCTCTTTTGCTAATGTATCACTAGTTAAAATTTTCAAAGTCATTGTGTTTTATTTGGGAGATTTAATCCAGTTTGTGTAAGTGCTTTGATTTTCATCTGTGAATGACATATAGGTGCCAAAGTAGCTAGGGCACTTCGAAGAATTCCACATACTGTCTGTTTCATCCTGCAAAGGAAAGTTAGAAAGTACATTATTCTACTGTGAACTCAAACATCTGAATCCTTACTTTATTCTTTGTCACATTTTTATTGTATGTAATTCTTGAGTTATTTATTCCTTTTCTGTAAAAAGTGAAGCCAATGCCTAAATAAGATTTAAAGCAACAGGTAAAGAAACTGTGCATAATTAGTAGTTCCTGGTGTCCTGAAATGGGAAGGCATGGCAAGAATATGCCTTTAATAAAATTAAAAAATGAGGAGCAGAATCTGCCATTTTTGTAGTATCCCTAGGATTAGAGATGTTATTTCAGCATTGGTTTCTTGACTGAATCTGAACAGCTGGTCCTCTGTTTTCATTAAAATATTCATAAGAAGCATCATAATGTCCTGTGCTTTGCTTTAAAGTAAATTAACTCTTTAAGAACTGGGTACTGAAATGTCATAGAATCATAAAGGCTGGAAAAGACCTCAAGGATCATCAAGTCCAACCGTCAACCCAACACCACCTAACTCACTAAACCATTTGAGGCAGAAAGCAGCCCTGTACTGCTTGGGCAGCAGTTGGCAGCAGCGGTGGTGGTGTGGGGTGACCTGCCGGCTGCAGCTCACACTGTAAGCTCCAAGTGCAGTGTTGACAAATATCCCAGCCAATTGTTCACCATTTCTTTCAGGGCGCTTGTAAGACAAGTTCATAAGTTGGAAAATGTGCAGGTGTGCCTTCTTTTGTACGTAAGAACAAGTGAAAGTGCTCTGATAATTTCCTTTTCCCCCTAAAATAAAGATTTATCTCTGTGTGTGTGCTTGAGTTGTAAATGGTGGAGCTGTAAACTCAGAAGTTGCTGTTGTATCCGTTTGATTAATTTACCTCTGCAGGTACAGTTTGCCATGAATGAATTCAGTGTACTTTCCTGCCTGGAGTGCAGGGCCGTGGTTGTTCTCCTTATCATTTGAAAACACTTTTTCAGAGACGTGACAGAGATGGAAGTGAATGGTAAGTGGGCGCTCCTTACCCCATCTTAATTTCATAATGTTAAGCCTCAAATCTGTGTGTGTTCAGTTTCACTGACAGATTACACACACTGCAACGGGCTGTTTAAGATTTCACATACTCTGTATATCCATTTTAAAATACTAGTTTTATGAAGGCAGTTAATTTTATTTGTAATTTTTCAAAACTTAAATGCACTTTTCCCAAAATAACACGCTACTAGCAGCAGCAGATGATGGAATGATGCAGTAGGATGGAGCTTGCCATCTTATAATCAGCTGTTTGAACCCACATGTGAAAGAACTTGACATCTGGTTGTAAAGCAGGCCATAGGAAAGATGTTGGTTTCAAAAAATTTGTAACGGTATCCAGTATTTAAACAGATCATTAGCAGGTTTCAGAGGGGTTACAGACATCTATAAATGGCTCATGTTTTACAGATATTCATAAACTGGAGCCCGAACATGGGCAGTGACTTGTTTTTTCTCACTCGTATCAGTGGCATAGCCATGAAAGGAGCTTAAACTGAGTGAGTCCTGGTCCTAGACTCTAGGTCTGTCTATTTCTTAGGGTATTCTTTAGCTTACCTTAAACCCCGCTGCCCCCGTGTTCCCGAGGAGCTGTGTACCACACAGCAGCACAATCTTAGTCATTGTAATCAATGAAACGTCTGTAGGTTTTCCGATGATGGAGGTAGGATCAGGAAGAAATGAACTGAATTCTGTTTGTATGATTCCTGAACAGGTTTGATGCTCGTGGAACTTCTTGGAAGGTGGCAGGTACCTGTTTCCCAAGTGGCAGCAATAGTTTTGCGGTTTGGTCTGAATCACATTTCAGTGCTGGTAACAGAACAAGAACAGAACCCAGTTCCGGTGTTCATCTCAAGTGAGTTTGGACATGTAAGAATTAGGAAATAACCACTTCTGATTGAGGAGATCCTGCTACATAACCACCAAGGGAGAATGAGCGTGGGACTCTGCAGTGGTGTGGTGGTTTTATTTCAGTGCTTTCTGTCACTTCATGCTGCTGAATGCTGCAGAAAGCTCAAATCCCACGTGTATTGCTCTGACTGCAGTCCTGTGCTATCGTAACGAGGTCACCATGATATTTGGTATGTAGCCTTGTGCGGGTATTTGGGAAGGTAGGAGAACCCTTCAGCAGATTTGATCATCCAAGGAAAAGACCGGATGCACGAGAGTGTATTAATGTCCTTCTGCTGCTGTTCTTGGGGAGAGACATGGCTGTCCACTGCTGCATCCCTTGTTGGTGTTGGAAACAGCCCCAGGCAGAGGATGGCATCTCCTGAAATCCATTCCAGCTGCATAGGGTCCAGGATGAGTGTTAGGCACAGCTATCGCCTAGGAAACAAGGTAAGCCAGTGCCAGCAGTTTTGGGAAGCAGCTGAAAGAGTCATTGTGGGGAGATGTACATATTTATATAAAGAAACCATCTGTGATGCTCGTTGTTAACCTGGTACAGTTGTAGATGTGACAGAATCAAGCTTGATTTTCACTGGCAGATGGTGTATTTTAAGTTACAAATCCTTTTTAGTCCCTGTATGTTCTCTTTTTTTAAGGTTTTTGATTTAAAAATAGAAAGCAAGCATGATTATGAAGTGTTATGTTAGCAAAGATAGGACTTTTTTTTTTTTTTAAAGCAATCCAGAATTCAAACATGGATTAGATGGATTACTAATTGAGATGTGCCATCTAGTGGCGATGAGATAATTTCTTAAATTCAGCCTACCAAACTGCCTCAGTATATGTTTAACACAGATATCTCTTCTCATTAAATGTACAGGTAACTTATTTTATTGCTATTCGTCTGGTAAATTCCTGGCTTTAATGAATTTGTATTAGATTACAAATATCAGCCTAGCTACAAACTAGACTAGAATTCATATCCATTCCCTAATGAAGTTGGGTTTTGGTGATAATGATATGTAAGCTATGTCTGCACAAATATTTACTGCAGCTGCATGTCACATTTAATTACAAAGAGAAAGTACACAGTCAGGCAGAGTAGGGCGGTTTCACCCTCGTGATTACTGAAGGACAAGTGGATTTTGTGAGCTGAGCAGCAGCCAGTTTGCAAAGACTGATTGACCACAGGTAAACTGTCAAGCCAGTAAAGAATAGTTGCTTGTTTTTCAGGACGTTCCATTTCTTTGTTCAGTTTTATCCAACAGCATCACAGAAGCTTCCAGGTCTGGTCCTCTGAAGGAGCATGAGAACTGTAACAGAGACCTTGAAGTAAGGGTCAGGAGCAGCACGCTGGGCTGGTGCACCATGGTGGCACACCACGGTGCCTGTGAAGCGGCTTGATTAGTTGCTACAGTTCTCATTAACTGGAGGTTTTACAGGGTTTTGGTGAGATCCTTCTGCTGTGGAAGAGGGTTCCCTCTGACCCACTGACTCCAGAGTGCACAAAGAACGGTAAAGGCAGAACAATCCCGAGATCCCATTAACTGACTAATGTTGAGCTTACAGCAAGCAATGAGAACCTTGCCAGCAGCGGTCATCTGCCCTGAAGGTGATCAGCCAGAGAGCTGCTTTGAACCTCAGAGCTGACTTTCCACAAAGTATGTGCCCCCATGAAGGAGGGTCTGGTGGCTCTTGGCTCAGGCTGTTTGCATGGGCTTGGTCACATCAGCTCTCACCTCTTACTCCACTATGAAAAGTAACACAGATCAGCATTACATGGACAGTTTTCTACAGACAGTCCCTCTTCCAGGGCTGCACATCTGTACCTACGGAGGGCTTTGCTGAGGAACAATCCCACATGAGACAGTCTCGGTTCTCTCTCAAAGAGGGCTCCCATGGGCTGCTGGCGGGAGGGGTGCTGTGCAACCATCTGTGTAGGGGTGATCTGCAGCAATCATTTGCTGGATGACTTTGGCAGTTACCCAGTTTCCCCATGCAGCTGCTTTTGTGTGAGGTGGTGATGACAACACCCAGCTTGTGATGGAGAGCTGTGCGAGGTGATGACCACTGACGGACGGTAACACTGGGGTGTGATACTACCAGCGTTTTGTTACTATTATTTGACTTCTCACCATATCTGAGACGATTTCAGCAGTGCAGTGTGTTGTACTGTCTGCTGCAGCTCGATTACAGGCCCCTGAGCCTGGGCAGAACTGCTTTCCCCTCTCATAGTTCACGATTTACAGCTCCTGCCGTACGTGCTTCAGTGCGTGGGGCACGGGTGGGGTGGAATGGCTGCAATCACCTGCTCCTGGTAACACACATCTTTAGGGAGGAAGGTTTGTGCTGCAAAGACTCAGCTGGGCCAGGATAGCTCCTCTTTTGAGACAAAAAAAAAAAAAAAAAATCTTATGGAAGGGGATTGTATTATTCAAAGTCATTCATTGTATTATTCAAAGTCATTCAAAGTCAGCAAATTGATTCTTCTTTTTGATTGTCAATGATGAATTAACTTTTTGGACAAATCCTTATCTTTTAGGATATCTTTTATATCCTACTGCTGTTGTCTTCTTGTTAGCCTGTTGGGCTATCAGAAGGAAGACCAGCGTATGTGATTTGCTGCAACCTCCGCTGCTGTCCTGCACGGGTTCTTCTGCTCAGGAGCTGTCTGTGCTGTGGTTGCCCCGGGTTGCCCTGGGGCCGTCAGGACTTGACAGCAGCAACACATTCCTCCACTCCATGGCACACATCCCTCGCTGTCCATACAGGCCTCTCTTTTAACTGTTGTGCTGGTGCTTTCACACACACGTATTTCCGGCCATACAGCATTTATAACGGTCTTAATATTTCTGTTAAAAACTATGCAGATTCATGTGGAAATTAAATTTTTCCATTTTTTCCTCAGTGTTGCAGCCGCTGCAGTAGTGCTCTCTAGTGAAATACAGACGGGTGTTTGATCCTGGATAGCTGCGGTGGCAGAATCTGCTGAGCTCAGTCTCCGCCAGCAGTTTAGCAGCACCTACGCAGCTAGAGGATGTGAAAGCAATGCCTTTTCCCCCCCCAGAGTTAAAGCTCTTATGGAGAAAGCAGTACCTTCTTAGAAAGGCTGTAATTGCTTGACCAGCTGATGTATAACTCCAGACTAATTGAATAGCAGACTTTCAGCTGGGTTAGAAAGCTTTTAAAAAACCGGAGGCCTTTGCATTGGAGTGAACTGAAGCTATTAGCCCCTAATTAAAACATGAGGTTTCGTCTTTACCTTTCTAGAGATCACAGAAATGTGTGTATTTTTCAGGCTGGAAGCCAGAAATCAAACATTCATCATGTAATTGCAGTAAGTGTGTGCTAATACTTCTCATTAAGTGTGATTTATGAATTCCAGAAGAGCCTAAGAGGTAAATATATAAAATTATTCTGAAGTCTGCAAAAATGAAGGCATTCA